TCAGAATTAACTGACAGGGATATGGCCTGCAGTTGACCAACTACTGACTTGCATTTGACATTTTTCAAGGGTGTTTTGCATTCACATAGACTTGAATTGCTTGAAGAGAACAAAAGTCAGTTACATATACAGTAATATTATATACATTTAGGAAATAATCCAGGCCTCTTTTAAAACAATCTACTGAGCTGGCCACAACCAGCTCTTGAAGGGAGTCTATTCTACATTTTCACAGCTCTTATTGTGGAGAAGCCCTTCCGCATTTGGAGATTACATCTCTTTTCCTCTAGATGTAAAGAGTGGCCCCTTGGCCTCTGTGATGACCTTCACCAATTGCCTACTGGTGTCACGTACCTGATTGGAGACTGAAATGACGAGGTCGGCCTCACTTGTGTCACTAGCCCTGACCCCACTAGAAGTGGAACAGAGGGTGGCTAGGGACCAGGGGGTCAAGAGCGCCAGCAGATGTTGTTTGCAGCTCTTGCAGCTGGAGACTTTGGAAGACTGATGAACCTCTGATTCAGGAACAGTAGTGATATGCAGAGCTGATATGGTAGGTCGCCAGGTGTGCACCAGAGCAAGGTAGGAAGCTGGGATGGGAGACAGGAGCAATCTCATAGGACTAGCCGGGGTCATCAGCAGGCACACAGCACAGTGCACAGCGAGGTACCAAATCATAAGCAGGCCAAAGTCAGGAGCAGAGCCAAAGTCAGGAACAAGTAACAAGCAGGAGAGTAATCAGAGTCAGGTCAGGAACAAGCCTGGTCAGCATTAAGGAAATCACACAGAAATGAGCAGGAAACGGGGAACAGCTGAAGACCAGTCAGCACTCAGCACAGGCAGAGGCACCTTTTAAATAGTCCGTCTGGTGCCAATCTTCACCATCTGTGTGCACGTGCGTGTGCGTGATTGTGCATTTCTTTGCGCATGCGCACTTCTATTCACCGGGATTCCCTTACATTGCCCCCCCCTTACGGGCAGCCTTCGGATACCCACTAAAGCTTGTTTTTCAGGATGAAGATGTAGGTAAGCTCGAATCAATCGTGGAGCATGGACATTAGCGGATGGTTCCCAGGAATTATCCTCTGGACCGTAGCCTTTTCCATTTGATGAGGAACTGGGTCTGACCACCCCTCTTTCCAGGATAGCCTCCACCTCATATTCTTCATTACCTTCGACCAGCAGTGGAGCAGGAGATGCCAGATCTCAACCCGGAAATAAACTTGGTATTGTTGGTTTTAATAGGGAGACATGGCGTGCTGCATGGATCTTCATATTCTTTGGTAGCATTAATTCAAAAGCCACAGGGTTAATCCTTCTCTTAAATGTAAATGGTCCCAGGTACCTCGGACCAAGCTTCTTTTGAAGGACAGCTCAATTTCAGATCTTCTGGTTTCAGATTTAGATTCCCTCTCCTTTTTCTGTCAAAAAAATTTTTTGTTACTTGCTTGAGCCTCTAAAAGAGTTTTTGGCCGTTCCTACTGAGGAAATCCAACCTTTCCTGTACTGCCGGGACAGCGGGTTCCACTGGTATTTCAGGGAGGAAGGAAGGATGATATCCATAGTTGGAGTAAAAAGGGGACTGTTTTTGGTAACAGAGTGGATGGAATTGTTGTATGCAAATTCAGCTAATGGAAGGAGAGACACCCAGTCATCCTATGAATAAGATGAGAAACATCGTAAGTATTGTTCATGGGTCTGGTTTGTCCTCTCAGTTTTGTCCATTTGTTTGAGGATGATATGCTGCAGAAAAGCAAAGTTCAATCTCTAATGCCTCACACAGAGCTTTCCAGAACTTAGAAGTGAACTGCACTCCCTGATCAGACATGATATTGCTAGAAACATCATGTAATCTCACTATTTTTTTAATAAAAGCAGAAGCAGTCTCAGAAGTAGGAGTCCCTCTCAGGGGAATGAAGTGGGCCATTTTTGACAGACAATCAATCACGACAAAGATGGTGGTGAACCCTTCAGATGGGGGAAGCTCTACAATAAAATCCAGAGAAATCATACTCCATGGCTTTTCAGGTACTGGCAGAGATTCCAACAGGCCAGGCCCCAGGTCTTGGCTTTATCAGACTTGTTTCAGAGACATACTGAGCAAGATCTAACATAGTTCTTACAATCCTTCATTAGGTTTGGCCACCAGAAGGAAAGGGAGACCAAATCTGAGGTCTTGTGGATCCCGAAGTGACCAGCTAAAGGGAGGATCATGACATCTTTTAAGAATGAGAGTTCTGAGTTGTTCTGGTATAGAAATCTGTTCTTTGTGAAGATACAGACCGTCTCTTAGCTGAAGATGCATTTCCAAGGGGGGTGGATGATCATCAACCACTTCTTTTATTTGTGCTACAAGATTTGTTTGTAGGAGTAAAAAATGTTTAGCTGGCAGGATCGTGTCAGGTTCGGATGGTACAATTAGGTCATGAAACATGTGTGAGAGTGCATCAGGCTTGCCGTTCTTTGATCCTGGACAGTATGTCAAGTGAAACACAAAGCGGGAGAAGAACAGTGCCCATCTTGCATGCCATGGCCTTAGGCGTTTTGCAGTTCTAGGTTCTTGTGATCCGTAAAGATGAGGATAGGGTGGGAAGTTCCCTCCAGCAAGTAGTGCCATTCCTCAAGGGCCGCCTTGATGGCTAACAGCTCTCTGTCTCCCACGTCATAGTTCCTTTCAGGGGAGCTTAGCTTTCTAGAGAAGAAGGCAACAGGGCGAAGGAGGGATTTGAGTCCCTGTCGTTGCAACAATATAGCTCCAACAGCATCTTCAGAAGCATCTACTTCAAGGACATAAGCTAAGGCAGGATCTGGGTGCTTCAGGATAGGAGCAGAGGTGAATAAGGTCTTTAATTGTTCAAACGCTGCTTGAGCCTCAGGAGTCCACTTGAAAGCAACATGTTGCCTGGTTAACTGTGTGACTGGTGCAATGATACCGGAAAAGTTCTTAGTGAATTTCCTATAGAAATTGGCAAATCCCACAAAGCGTTGTACCGCTTTCCTGTCTCTTGGAACGGGCCATTCTAATACAGAGGTCACTTTTTGGGGATCCATAGCAATGTCATCGGGAGTGATCACAAGTCAGAGGAACTGAATAGTCTGTTTCTCGAATTCACACTTTTCAGCTTTGGCATAGAGGTGATGTTGGCGTAATCTACCCAGTATCTTCTTTACATGATCCCGGTGTCGTTCAATTGAGCTGGAAAAGATTAGAGTGTCATCCAAGTAAACAATGATAAATAGATCAAGATAGTCCCGGAATATATCATTCACGAAATGTTGGAATGTTGCTGGGGTATTAAAAAGGCCAAATGGCATCACCAGGTATTCGAAAATGCCCAAAGCGTGTTCGAAAGGTCACCTTCCATTCATCCCCTTCACGAATTCTGACTAAATTGTATGCACCTCCCAGATCTAATTTTGAAAAGACACATGCCCCTCATAGCCTTTGGAACAATTCGGGAATCAGGGGAAGAGGATAGCGGTTCTTGAATGTTTTCTTATTCAGATCACGATGGCCCACACATGGTCTAAAAGTATGATCTTTCTTTTCGACAAAGAAGATGCCAGCTCCCACTGGTGATGTAGAAGGCCGAATAAACCCTTTTTCTAGGCGTTCATCTCTATAACTCTAGTTCCAATTTCGAGAGAGGGTAAATTCGCCCAAAAGGGATCTCCGCACCGGGCAGGAGTTCAATAGGACAATCGAGGGCCGGTGCAGGGGAAGAGCATTGGCACTCTTCTTGTTGAATACATCCAAGTAGTCAAGTTTCATCATCTCTAAATCAGGATGGATACTAAGAAGAGGAGTCACTGCACATGGTTCCTTTGGAATGCAATGGTTCTGACAGTATTCGGAAGGGAAGAGGATCTCCCCGGAAAGCCAGTCGATGGATGGGTTGTATGCCCTTAGTCAGGGCATGCAGAGGATGACTGGAAACATTGGTGAGGTTATGACATCCAGACATAGAAATTCCTGATGTCCTGAGGAGGAGTGGCAGAAAATTGGCATAGTCTCTTGTGTCACTGGGCCAGAACTGGTACCAGAGCCATCAGCCAGATGGACCGAAAATCTTTGTGTCTTAGTATGGAGAGAGATATTGTTTTGATTAGCAAAGGTAGAATCCATGAAGCAGCTACAGGCACCAGAGTCTATAATTGCTAGAACAGTAATAGTTATTTCAGCAAGTTGTAAGTGAAGATGGAAGGAGAGGTGCGTTTGACTCATTCCTTGGGGGTGCATCATATGGAACCAGCTAGGAGAAGGCTTATGAGGTCTCACTGGACATGTCAGTACATAGTGACCGGCATTACCACAGTCGGGGCAGAGGTTGGAGTTTTGTCGTTGAAGACGTTCAGCAGAGGATAGCGGTGGTCTCCAAAAGCTCCTTCTAGGAGAATTACGATGCCCTCTTTTGCTGGGGAGTATGTCTGATGTGACAGCGGTGGGTGAGAAGACAGAAGTCTCCATTTCTGAGCAGATCAAGTCACCCCTGCTAGTTCTTTCATCCCATCTTTCCCGGATATGTCGATCGATTTGAATGGCAAGGTTAATCAGGTCCTCTAGCCTGGTTGGTACCCCAACTCAGGCAAGCTCCTCTTTCAGGTTGTCAGAGAGACCAAGATGAAACTGATGGCAGAGAGCAGAATCGTTCCATTGAGTGTCAGAACTCCATATACGGAACTCAGAGACATATTCCTCCTATAGGCCTTTGGCCTTGCTGTAGCTTGCTGAGCATAAATTCTGCAGTCTGATGGTGGAAGGGATCAGCGTAAAGTTGTGACATGGCTAAGAAAAAAGAGTCCATAGAAGTCAGAGCCGGATCATGTTGCTCACGAAGGTGGTGTGCCCAGCATTGGTGTTCATTCTTAGAGATGAGCGAATTATTCAAAAATTCGATTCGACTGATTCGGCGAATTCGTGAAAAAATTTTGATTCGAGTCGAATATATTCGCTGCGAATTTAACTTATAAAAGGGTGTTTTCTAGGCTTCAGAGAGCCTTTATATTAGTGCAGAACACTGTACCTTTAATTTAAATGCCCTTGGAGTCTGCTGGGGAAGAGAAATAATACTGACAGTCAGTATGACATGCAGATGAGTGCCGTCGATCTTAGAATCACCGCACACTTCACTCATTTGGGCAGTCACGGGGCCAAAACCAGAGTGTGGAGCCACAGTGTGGCGGTGGAGGCAGCAGCAATGGGAGGCCATACAGCACCCTATGACAAAAATGGAAACCACCAGCAGTGTGAGGAGACCTGAAAGTGGCACATGGCAGAGTGTGGCGATGGAGACAGCAGCAATGGGAGGCCGTACAGGGACCCATGACACACTCTGGACCTGGCAGCAGCATGAGGAGGTGGTACAGGGGCCCATGACAGATTACGGGCCTGGCAGCAGCATGAGGAGTTGGTACGGGGGTCCATGGCAGATTACGGGCCTGGCAGCAGCAATGGGAGGCCGTACAGGGACCCATGACACACTCTGGACCTGGCAGCAGCATGAGGAGGCGGTACAGGGGCCCATGACAGATTACGGGCCTGGCAGCAGCATGAGGAGTCGGTACGGGGGCCCATGACACACTCTGGACCTGGCAGCAGCATGAGGAGGCGGATGACAGATTACGAGCCTGGCAGCAGCAACTTGGACAGGAGGACGTTCAGCTTCTGCACCGTCGGGTGCGTGCTCGCAAACTGTTGTCTCTTGGAAACGGATTCCAAGAAAGACTGCTGACGGAATACGTGAAGAGGAGTAGCAGGAGAAGGAGCATCTGAACGAGCGGAATATGCCAACAAGCGACAACAGGGGCCCATGACAGATTACGGGCCTGGCAGCAGCATGAGGAGTCAGTACGGGGGCCCATGGCAGATTACGGGTCTGGCAGCAGCAATGGGAGGCCCGTAATCTGCCAGCACCCTATGACAAAAAATGGAACACACCAGCAGTGTGTGAGGAGACCTGAAAGTGGCACATGGCAGAGTGTGGCGATGGAGACAGCAGCAATGGGAGGCCGTACAGGGACCCATGAGAGACTGTGGACCTGGCAGCAGCATGAGGAGGAGGGTACTGGGGCCCATGGCAGATTAGGGGCCTGGCAGCAGCAATGGGAGGCCCGTAATCTGCCAGCACCCTATGACAAAAAATGGAACACACCAGCAGTGTGAGGAGACCTGAAAGTGGCACATGGCAGAGTGTGGCGATGGAGACAGCAGCAATGGGAGGCCGTACAGGGACCCATGAGAGACTGTGGACCTGGCAGCAGCATGAGGAGGCAGTACTGGGGCCCATGGCAGATTAGGGGCCTGGCAGCAGCAATGGGAGGCCCGTAATCTGCCAGCACCCTATGACAAAAAATGGAACACACCAGCAGTGTGTGAGGAGACCTGAAAGTGGCACATGGCAGAGTGTGGCGATGGAGACAGCAGCAATGGGAGGCCGTACAGGGACCCATGAGAGACTCTGGACCTGGCAGCAGCATGAGGAGGCGGTACAGGGGCCCATGGCAGATTAGGGGCCTGGCAGCAGCAATGGGAGGCCCGTAATCTGCCAGCACCCTATGACAAAAAATGTAACACACCAGCAGTGTGAGGAGACCTGAAAGTGGCACATGGCAGAGTGTGGCGATGGAGACAGCAGCAATGGGAGGCGGTTCAGGGACCCATGAGACACTGTGGACCTGGCAGCAGCATGAGGAGGCGGTACAGGGGCCCATGGCAGATTAGGGGCCTGGCAGCAGCAATGGGAGGCCCGTAATCTGCCAGCACCCTATGACAAAATGAAACCCTGGGCTGGGGCAGGCAGAACCGCCGTATCTTTATCACGGTTTTCCAGGCCACCGAATGGCAATGCTGCATATGCTGACGCAACGCTGTAGTCCCAACATGGGCCCCCTGGCCACGCTTGACTTTCTGGCCACATAGTCGACATACGGCTACGTTTACTTCCTCGGGCGGCTTGACGAAAAATTGCCACACCACCGAGTAGGAAACTTTGCCCCCGATACTCCTCACTGGCTGACTGCTACTTCCTCCGTGCACACCGGCACCACTACTGGCCGTGGTGGTAGGCTGCAGTGGAGCTGGTGCTCTACTCCGTGGCCGTTTGCCTCCACTGACACTGCTGCGACCCTGCTGCCTCCTGGCAGCAGCAATGGGAGGCCGTACAGGGACCCATGACACACTCTGGACCTGGCAGCAGCATGAAGAGGCGGTACAGGGGCCCATGGCAGATTAGGGCCTGGCAGCAGCTATGGGAGGCCCGTAATCTGCCAGCACCCTATGACAAAAAATGGAACACACCAGCAGTGTGTGAGGAGACCTGAAAGTGGCACATGGCAGAGTGTGGCGATGGAGACAGCAGCAATGGGAGGCCATACAGGGACCCATGAGAGACTCTGGACCTGGCAGCAGCATGAGGAGGCGGTACAGGGGCCCATGGCAGATTACGGGCCTGGCAGCAGCAATGGGAGGCCCGTAATCTGCCAGCACCTATGACAAAAAATGGAACACAACCAGCAGTGTGAGGAGACCTGAAAGTGGCACATGGCACATGGCATGAGTACACTGTGGACCTGGCAGCAGCATGAGGAGGCGGTACAGGGGCCCATGGCAGATTAGGGGCCTGGCAGCAGCTATGGGAGGCCCGTAATCTGCCAGCACCCTATGACAAAAAATGGAACACACCAGCAGTGTGTGAGGAGACCTGAAAGTGGCATATGGCAGAGTGTGGCGATGGAGACAGCAGCAATGGGAGGCCGTACAGGGACCCATGAGAGACTCTGGACCTGGCAGCAGCATGAGGAGGCGGTACAGGGGCCCATGGCAGATTAGGGGCCTGGCAGCAGCAATGGGAGGCCCGTAATCTGCCAGCACCCTATGACAAAAAATGGAACACACCAGCAGTGTGAGGAGACCTGAAAGTGGCACATGGCATGAGACACTGTGGACCTGGCAGCAGCATGAGGAGGCGGTACAGGGGCCCATGGCAGATTAGGGGCCTGGCAGCAGCTATGGGAGGCCCGTAATCTGCCAGCACCCCTATGACAAAAAATGGAACACACCAGCAGTGTGAGGAGACCTGAAAGTGGCACATGGCAGAGTGTGGCGATGGAGACAGCAGCAATGGGAGGCCGTACAGGGACCCATGAGAGACTCTGGACCTGGCAGCAGCATGAGGAGGTGGTATAGGGGCCCATGGCAGATTAGGGGCCTGGCAGCAGCTATGGGAGGCCCGTAATCTGCCAGCACCCTATGACAAAAAATGTAAACACACCAGCAGTGTGTGAGGAGACCTGAAAGTGGCACAAGGCAGAGTGTGGCGATGGAGACAGCAGCAATGGGAGGCCGTACAGGGACCCATGAGAGACTCTGGACCTGGCAGCAGCATGAGGAGGTGGTATAGGGGCCCATGGCAGATTAGGGGCCTGGCAGCAGCTATATGGGAGGCCCGTAATCTGCCAGCACCCTATGACAAAAAATGGAACACACCAGCAGTGTGAGGAGACCTGAAAGTGGCATATGGCAGAGTGTGGCGATGGAGACAGCAGCAATGGGAGGCCGTACAGGGACCCATGAGACACTGTGGACCTGGCAGCAGCATGAGGAGGCGGTATAGGGGCCCATGGCAGATTAGGGGCCTGGCAGCAGCTATGGGAGGCCCGTAATCTGCCAACACCCTATGACAAAAAATGGAACACACCAGCAGTGTGAGGAGACCTGAAAGTGGCACATGTTTGGGGCATGATTCATGGCGGATTTAGTCAGTTGTGTCAGGAACTGGTGGTTTGAAATCCAGACTAATCCACGCCTGACGTGAGTCTCTCTCCACACTTTGGGTGGACAGTCGTGTCCTCCGCGGAGTTACAATACCTCCTGCCGCACTAAACACGCGCTCCGATGCCACGCTACTGGCCGGGCATGACAGCCTTTCAAGGGCAAATTCAGCTAGTTGGGGCCAAAGGTCAAGTTTCGTTTCCCAGTAGTCAAGGGGATTGTCTACCTCAGTTGGCAGGGTGCTGTCCAAGTAGGCCCAAGCCTGTTGTTTGAGGTCCTGCTCCAGGTCCACCTGATGCTGCTGCGGCTGGTTAGTATTTTCCTCACTGCGCTGGTGAAGAAAGCTACTCAAACA